TGACATAAGGAAATCTAACTCCTTATACTCTTTACTTCTTTAGTCCACTGAGTCTCTCTTTGCCTTCTTACTTTCATTTAATATGTAAGATTTAAAAACACCTCACCTTATATTTATGTCCTTATCACTAGTCACATAAAAATAAACATTTGATTTCTTAGCCTTTATTATCTAAAAATATTCAACTTTTAAATTTTTGGTAAGTTTGCAAATTGAATATCCTGTTCACTTTTGAGTTCTTTTGAAGGAATGATTCAAATGCTCTCCTTTCCTTGGAGTTCCATTTTCTTTGGTGGTAAGGTCCAACTTTGCAAGATATATTATTTTGAGATGCCAATCAATATCCTTTGCTTTTTGGAATATCATATTCTATTTTCCTTTGATGTCCTACAACCTATTAGAGTAGTACAGTGCTATTCTGACTTTTTCTCCTTGGGGTTTGGAGTTTTTTCCCTGTTTGTTAGATTTTTTTTTTGTTTGATATTGTAGACATGCAATTTCATTATAATGTTTCTTGATGATTTAAACCTGAGGTTTCTTTCTGTTTCATGTTCTGTGGATCCTCTCAATCCGAACTTTGCTGTTTCCAACATTTACAGGGAAACTTGCAACTTAATTTCTTGAGGCATGGTATTTTTTTTTTCCTGGAAGACCTATCATCCTCAGGTATTTCCTCACATCCTATCTTGTGGTGTTTTTTTCTTTTTTTTTTTAAGGCAATGGGGTTAAGTGACTTGCCCAGGGTCACACAGTTAGTTAAGTGTTATGTGTCTGAGGCCGCATTTGAACTCAGGTCCTCCTCAATCTAGGGCCGGTGCTCTATCCACTGTGCCACTACTCCCCTCACATCCTATCTTGAAAGTCAATATCTTATTTTGTTGTGCTCCTATGTTCTTCCAATCTTATTTTTCATTTTTGTTCAGTTATTTTTCCACCTCTGAAGTTCTGCATTCTAATTCTGTCATATCCTTTTCCAGAAAATCTATTGATATCAGCTTTATTGAAGGAATATATCATAAATCAACAGAATTTAAAATGTAAGCACTTTTAAAAGAGGACAATCCTGGAATACACAGACCTTACTACCATTCCTGGTGTATCTCTTGAATGTATGTTTTGAAACATGGAGGCATGGGGAAAGAACAGCAGAAGGAAGAAATCACCCATCGATGTTTGCCAGTCACTTTTGCTGTCTTCATCAGCATTGTTCTCCTACCCTTGTAGTTGAAGGGGCTCTTCGAATGGGCTGCATCAATGACTCAGGACTCACTACTTCCAAGAAGCCTTTCTTGTCCAGTCATGCTCTACAGTGATTACTCTGCATTCCTCAGAAGTCAGGGACTATTTGTGTTTTATGATCTTCATTTAATTTTTAAAATTTGTAATCTTTAGATGACTCATGTTTTCTGTTTCTTCTCTCTCTGGTTAGCCTGTAATAGAGTTGACTACAGGGGGCCAAGGTATCAATTTCTTTTTATCTCTCATAGAGTAGGCATGAAGAAACCCTTGACAAATACTTAACTGAAGAATTAATCTTCCCTATTATTGGAAAAATATATGAGGTCAAGCCCTGTACACATTGCTCTAAAGAATTCATTTAGGAAGCTTCACGCAAACCAGCAGTACTTTTAGCTGTAGGGATTCACCCATACATTTGCGGAAACTTAGTTGTAAATTCTGTATTCTAAGGAAGGATAGAGATATATTAAGAGGTAGCATGGAACACAGTATAAAGAAAGAAGAGTGGACTTGCAATTAGGAGAGACTGGGTTTACATCCCATCTTTGATAATTATTGGCTTTATGACCATGGGCAAGTAATTTAACCTCTTAAAGCCTAAGTTAGGGCACCTGGGTGGCCCAGTGGATAGAGTGCCCAGCTTGGAATCAGGAAGAATCATTTTCCTGAGTTCAAATCCAGGCTCAGACACTTACTGAGTGACCCTGGGCAAGTCACTTAGCCTTGTTTGCCTCAGTTTCCTCATATGTAAAATGAGTTGGAGAAGGAAACGGAAAATCATTTCAGTATCTTTGCCAAGAAAACCCCAAATGGGGCCAGAGAGAGTCAACTGAAGACACAATTGTAATAACACAACAATGCCTGAATTTGCTCATCTAGAGAATGAAGATAACATTTGCTTAAAATCTATGATTCTACGTCCACCTAAGTCTTTACTTCTTTAGGTTAAACATTTCTTCAACCAATCTTCATATGACATTATTTCAAGGTCCTTCACGCTTCTGGTAACCATCCTCTAGTCACTCTCCATCTTATTCCATAAACGTCCTTCTTAAAGTGTGGTGCCAAGAACTGAATAAAGAGTGCAGTGAGACTATTCCTGACATTATGCCTATATTAAGGCTGCTTTAGGTATAAGCTTTTCTTGGCTGCCATATAACACTGTTGACTCACATTGTCTACTTGGATGCCCAGCTTTTTCTTCGATGAAATGTCCTCTAGTCACACTTCCACATTTTTTTTAACTTGGAAAGTTGATTTTTAAAGCTAGGTATAAAATTTAAAGTCATCTCAATTAAATCATATTATCTTCAATTTAGCCTAATATGCTTATCAAGATTTTGAATTCTGAATCTGTCAGTGACAGTATTATTCATGTTTCCTCCTAGTTTTGTGACATTTGAAAACTGATAACTGTGCCGTCTATGCCGTTACACAAGTCATTGATAAAATGTTAACAGCACAAGCATAGATTACTTAACCATTCCAATAGAGGCCCCCTTTCAAGTTGACATGGAGCCATTAAGACTACTCTTTGGCCCTTCGTCCAGTTCCCAATCTATCAAACTGTACTAATGTCTAGTTCACATCTCTTTAGCTTATTCACAAATAGAAAATGAGAGATTCTGACAAATGCCTTGTTAAAAATCTAGATAAGCTACACAGATTCCTCTGATCTACCAGCTTAGTAAGTGTGTCAAAAAAAGGAAATGAAGTCAGTCTGGCACAATCTGCTCTTGATGAAGTCAAGCTCTTTGTGATCAGTGTTTCCTTTTTAAGATGTTCACTAAGCATCCTTTAACTAACAGGTTCTAAAACATTGCTAGGAGTAGATGTCAAGCTCACTGGCCTACGGTATAGGGATCCTGCATTATTCCCAACTTGATTACCTGGAGAGGGAAGCAGTGGGTGTAGGCAAAGTGTTTTAGTTTGCTCCCTTTCCTTCTTCAAGAATAAGAAATGGTTTTAGAAAATCCTGACAAGTTAAACTCCTTGGTTCCTCCATGAACTGGTAGGTGGCCACTGATGCTGGGGATGGTTATTCTTTGGTACCTGTGGCAATCAATGAAACCACACTGGCAGATATGAAAGGAAGGACCAGCTCTGGAATTTAAGGATATTAGAAAAAATAGAAATATTTTATTAGAAGGGCTTGATATGGACTTTTGGGACATCATGAAGTCTAAAGCTTCACCTTTAGCTTACTGAACCCACAAGTGATTCCATGCAACTAGTTTGAATCAGCTAAAGTGTGGGGAGCTCATTCTTGGAAGACATGACTCACAAATTTGGTTAAGATTGATGCATACATGCTCTTTGACTCAGCAATACCATAGGTAGGTCTGTATCCCAAGGAGATCAAAAAAAAAGGGAAAAGGACCTATATGTACAAAAATATTTATAGCTGCTCTTTTTGTGGTGGCAAATAATTGGAAATCAAGTCGATGCTCATCAAATGGGGAAAGACTGAATAAGTTGTGGCATTTCATTGTGATAAAATACCATTGCGCTATAAGAAATGAGAAGGGGGTATTTTCAGGAAAAAAACTAAACAAAATAAAACATGGCAAGACCTATATAAGGTGAAGCAAAGTGAATGAGAAGAACCGGGAGATCATTGTGCACAATAATAGCAATACTGTAAAGATGATCAACCATGAAAGATTTGGGTACTTTTTAACAATGATCAGACAGTTCAAAACACTCCTGATGAAAAAATCCTATCCGCCTCCAGAGAGAGAACTGATGAACTCTAAGTACAAACTGAAGTATAATTTTCTTACTTTCTAAAAAAAAAATGTGGCTAATTGGTTGGGAGGTAGAGCCAATCTTGGCAGAGAAAAGGCAGGAAGTAGCCTGAGCTCTTGCTAATTTTCCTCAAAACAATTTTAAATTAAGCCTCAAAATGAATTCTAGAGTGACAGAAAAAAAAGATGAGGTGAAACAATTTTCCAGCCCAAGATAACTCGGAAGGCCTGCAGGAAACGTCTGTCTCACTTGGGTAAAAGGGGAGTGCAGCCCAGGGCAGTTAGTGTCCAGGCCCTTAGCCCCCACCACAGATAAGCAACTGAGGTCCCTCAGTCCTGGCACAGTCCTAGTAAAACAGGCTACTGGCCAGGTCAGTCACTCCTGGTACAACAGGTGAGCTCCTGGCCTTGGCACAGCAAGCCAGTGACCATGCCCCTGGCACAAGAAGCTCCGGTACCTCAAGAGCGGAGCTCAACTTTAAAAGTCATGAAATAGACTGGAAAACGAGCAAAAAAAAAGTCCTAACTGTGGAAAGCTACTATGGGGACAGGAAAGATCAAAAAATATGGCTAATATAGAAATATGTTTTGCATGATTTCACATGTATCTTATCATATTGCTTGCCTTATTAGTGGGTGGGGTAGAATTTGGAACTCAAAATCTAAAAAAAAAAAGTTAAATTTTTTAAAAAAGTAAACAAATATTTTCTAATGATTTCTACGTTTTGTTATTGTCATCTTCAATTCATCATAATGATCCAATTGATCATTATCTTCCCTAACCCTCATGATAGAAAAAATTTCCATTTATGGAATAAATACTTAAGTGTACCTACATGTATACATTTGTTTCAAAATTTTAATAGGGCAGATTTGAAAAAACTTGCTTACACCAATAAAGAAGTTTTTGAAACATATAGCAAGGTCTACATCATCATCTAAGTCACATCAACATAATTATCATTGAATATATTTCTTTTCATAAATACATTTAGGAAAAAATAAAGGCATAAAATGAACAGTTTAGCAGTCTGTCAATCCAATGGAATATTTTGGATAGAAATAATTAAGTCCCAATAAAGAGGAATTAAAAATAAATTCCAATTTTACTTTATGTCCCTTTTGGAACAATTTGCTACCATGTCTGCATAAAAATAAGGGCATAAACACATTCTATCCAGATTACTCTGAAGCCATCCACAATAATACAATATTATTATGTATAAACTTAAGACGTTGGGCAGGGTTGGGGGAAAGGTAGGAGGGGTGGGAGATAATGTTTTCTAAATTAGACTCTAAAACTGGGTCGGAGTGTTTATAACTGGATTTTATTTTCACCCATAATCACACCTATTGTAGGTGTGAGAGTCAGTAACAGAGGTAGATAAGTTGGGAACAGGGTGGGGAAGCAGTGTACAAAGACCAGGGAGAAAGAATTATGTAGGCTCATACTTGTCTGTAATGGTAGACCAGGATACCAGATAAATCTGAACATTTTGCCCTTCGGTTACAATGAAATTTGAATAGGCCCACACACAGACACCAAGCAGAAAAATACTGCCCCCCCTGCCCAGCCTCCACTGCTCCTAGCTAATGTTTCTCTATATTCATGTTTGCAAACATCAGGAAAAACATCATGCGAAAGATGAGCCCAACACAAGATCCAATGGGTCTCCCAATAACGGAGTGGCACTTTAGGGAGATTCCAGTATAAACCAGCCTTCCCATTTACCCTTGGGATCAGTTTGTAAGTTCTGAAGATAATGACCAGAAAAGCCATCAAAAAGGGGATGCCACAAGGGGCTGGGAAAACATCCTTTCAGAAGCCGGTAGTAGTAGCAGTATAGATTTAGACTGGACAAAGTCATCTAGCGCCCCCAGGAATGACTCATCTGTTGGTTCTACGGAAGCAAACCAGAGTCATCACCACTGTTTTTCCCTTAGGACTTTTCCTGTCCGAAATGAAAATGCCATCATTTTACATTAAGCTAAGGATGAAAAGATACAGACAGAAAGCTTTAAGGGAAACTTGGAAGATGACAGCATTCTCCATAATGAGAATTGGAAGCTTTGCCAATCACCGTGATCTTATTTCTATATCTTGCCCCCTTATTAAAGCTCAACCCTGTGAATTTGTAAGAGAAACACCCACAGAGCTAATGCTGGGTTTACGTCTGGATGTCCACTTTGGGACAACTCCATTCACTTGATGTCTGTGACCATAAACAACGCTCTATGTTTTGCAATTCTCTGGCCAGTCTGCCAGAAACGTGCTACAAATGGCTGCCGCATCTGTTGCTGATTCCTCAAATGTAACAGGCTGCAACTGGATAAAAGGCAAGCAGCTCAGATCTTTCTGTAACAGTAAAAGTAAATAGTTTTGGTCTCTGGCATGGAATGTGGCTCTGGGCAGTCCTCCATTCCTGCTGTCCTCAGAATTGGAAGGCTCCTGCTTTCCTGACGTCTGCCCCTCTTACCTGCCTGAGGCAGATTTGCAGGTAGCATGTGAACAACCAGGAAAGGAGGAAAGTGGGGGAAAAAGATGAATAATAATGACAAAAATAGAAGTCTCCCCTGCCCCCCTCCCCCCGAACTTTACTTATAACTCAAATATCAGTGCCTTTGAAACAGCCTATGATGCATTTAAGACAGAAAAATGCCACCATTTCATACAACGGAATTGAAAGAATTATCTTGAGGACACTCTTAATTTGAAGGAATGTCTAGAAAACTATGTCAATGAATGCAAATATTTTCTGCTTTCCTAGCATCCATCCATCTACTCTCTGGCCCCATGCTGAGCATACACAAACAAGAAGAAAGAGGCATGTCACAGTTTTAGAATAAAGGACGCACAGGCACACACGCGCACGCGCACACGCGCACACACACACACACACACACGTCAAGGTATTCAAGAGAAAACTTTGGAAAGGGTCTCCCTAAAGTTTGTCAGCAGAAGGGTATTTTCTAGGTCTTTGGACCTTCTTTTTGATAGGCATGTCTCTGCCACAGCATTGTGGTTACACAGAAAATGGTGACAGGGAATCCAAGGTTTGCTTCTTAACTGGGAGGACTATTCACTGAGTTAGAAAAATAAACAGCTCCAAAATAGTGTACAGCCTCTGCTGGTCACCAGCAAGGTAGGTTCTGGAAACAATGCTCTGGCCAAATGCATTTTAAGGCACTTTAAATAGATTTATCTTTTTTTTCATATAAAAAAATAAAATATGCACTGAAGCAACATTCACAAATACAGGTCTTCTAACGGCGTGATTGTACAGTATGGTACATATATACACATCTGTGACTTGAGGGTCCCCGCTAGCATTATACTGTTGGCCTCATCAGCTTCACGCCCTACAAAAAAAGCAGAAACAAAGAGTGAGTCCAGCAGCAGCACAGTGAGGGTGACAGGGTGGCAGAGAGCCCTGGAATGGAGGTGAGCCAGCCACCAACGGGATCAGAGAGGACGAGCTGGAACGAGCTTTGAGCCTCTCATTCTGCAGGTGAGCAAACGGAATCTCACAGAGGTGATGGGACTTTTCCAAGGTCACAAAGGCAAGAAGGAGCCCAGGTGGAATCCGACCCAGGTCTTCTAACTTTGGACACAATGCTTTTCCCCACGACGACAAGTCAAGAGACTTGAGTTGGATTGTCGGTTTCCCACATGGCCTGTGTAACCAGGGACACAAGTTACTTTGCCTCTCTCAGACTCAGTTTCCTCCTCTATAAAATGGGGATAATATTCCTTGTACTACCCATTTCACAGGGTAGTTGGGATGAAGGCATTTTGTGAATCTTAAAACGTTATACAAATGTGAGCTCTTATTATTGGTGGGGAGTAGGGGAATGAACAATTCCAAACAACCAACAATCCCAAATATTGATTGACCTCCTGAATGACCTTCTTCTAGCATGGCTTCTCTTGGGGCAGCTAGGTGGTATAGTGGGGAGAGCACTGGGTCTACAGCTGGGAAGACCTGAATTCAAATCTGACCTCAGACACTTACTAGCTGTGTGACCCTGGGCTCTCTCTGGCTTAGTTTCCTCAACTGTAAAATGGGGATAATAATAGCACGTATTTATCAGAGTTGTTGTGAAGACCAAATGAAATAATAAAAGTGCTTAGCATAGTTTCTGGCACATAGTAGGCACTTTATAAATGTTTGTATTTTTTTTTTCTGACTGGGTAATGGAAGAACTCCCCTCCCACTCCCCACAAAAAATCTACATAATCTATAATTTAGATGAGGCACTAAAAGTTAATTGAGAGCTGCTTTTATCTTGGGGGACCAAAGATGATGCTGAGATCCATGTATCAATTTAGCCAATGGCTCTTTGGTTCAGATGGGAGGCAGGTAACTGGTGTTAGATAGAGTAGTGGACCTGGGAGTCAGGAAGACTTGAGTTCAAATTCTGCCTCAGACAGGTACTAGTTGTGTGACCCTGGGCAAATCACTTAACCTCTCTGTGCCTCAGTTTCCTCATCTGTAAAAAGAGGTTAGTCTCAATGGATTCTAAGGTCCCTGTGAGCTAGTGGTGTTCATTCACAGTGAGTTAGAGTGACCCCATGATCCTATGAACCATGCTCTAAAGGAGAATGAAGGTTCAATTTTGTTACCATCTGAAAGATGCTCTTATGTTTTAAAATTTCAGGTTAAAAAATATGATTAATAGAGAAAAATTATTTACATTTCTTTAATGTTTATAATGTTTTTTTTTTAAATAAAGTGATCTCCTTAAAAGAACCCTGCGAGGTAGATACTATGATTCCCATTTTACTGGTGAGGCAACTGAGACTCAAAAAAAGTAAGTGACATACTTGACCAGGGTTGAACCCACGTTTTCCCCAACTCTTTCCACAATACAACGCCTCTCCAACTCACTATGAATGACTACTAAGAGCAGAGCACAGTTATATTTCTTTCTTTCTATGTTAAAAGTATTTTTCTTAAAAAAGAAAAAAAAGGAAGCATCTTTTCAAAACCTAAAAGAAATTAAGGGGTTAAAGAAACTCCACTCCCAAACACAGAGTAAAAGCACCTCTCTATAGAAGCTTTCAAAAGGCATAAATGTAGTTGGTCTTGGATAAGAGGAGGCTCGCCCTTGCAGGTGTCGTCCTCTCAAGATGCAGCCTCACCATCCTAGCGACAGTCTGCTAAATGTTCGCTCTCTTCATGTTCAGTACAATCGGCTGACAACAATGACTTAGAACTCTTGGGTCAGAGTAACTTAAATGCCATTATGGTCAGAAAAATGCCTTTAGAAGGTGTTCTGTGCTACCAGGGCAGCTGCTTTTTCTAAATCTTCTGGGTTATGGTTGACAAGTGGCCTAAATCTAAACTATTCTGCTATCATCTGGTCTCTGAAGTCCTGATCACAGGGAAAGCATCTGTGCTGGCCTGTTTTCTATAGCCAAAGCTGGACAAGCCTCTGGGAGAACTGTCGGGTTTGTTTTGGTATTAGTTGCTGATTTGTGAAATCAGAGTAAATCAACACATATTTACCCTGAAACCAATAGCTGGACTGTTTCTCTCGGCTTAAGAGCTAGGTGGCACAGTGGATACAGCACTGGCCCTGGAATCAGGAGGACCTGAATTCAAATCCGATCTCAGACTCTTGATACTTACTAGCTGTGTGACCCTGGGCAAGTCACTTTTGCCCCATTGCCTAGCCAAAAAAAAATAAAATAAAATAAAGAGTTTATAAGGAAGACACTCAAAGCAGCTGATTTTGAGTTTTCAAGTAAGAAGGACCTATAAGTAGGCACTGAATGAGCTGGGCTCAGAACCCAGGTCCTCTGACTGTAGATCAACCTTCAGTAGGGGGTGGAACTGAGATTATTCTTTCAAAAAAAATTGTATCTTTATAGTAAAACTCCATCTTTACGGTAATTTAAAAATCTGAAACTTGAACGAACTCATTCTGTCCAAATTCAAATAGTGTCGACACACCTACGTTACTTAACATAATACTGTGTCTATGGATATAAACAATACACATATGATAACCTAAGTTTAAGGAACAGTATTTCAATCAGACTTTTCCAGATCCTTTTTGCTTCCCCTGAAAGAATGCAAATAGCTAGGGGCAGAAACTATTTCCTCTTTTGCACCCTCAGCCCCTAGCACAATGCATGGCCCATCCCAGGAATGGGATAAATGCTTGCTGGCTGCCTGAATTCTGTGGCATTCTTACCTTCTGTCTTGACACCATCCATGACTTGATTGTTGGCACTAACAGACTGCCCAGCAGGATCTGTGCTGGGTGGTAGATAAGCAATGGCACAGATATTAAGGAGAGGTGTTCATGGCCGGCAAACACAATCTTTAGCATTGGAATTCCTAAAGGCAAGGAAGGAAGGACGACACAGGCTCAGTGCTAAGACCACCCTTCAATGGTACCACTCAAAAGAGAACCGCATCTTGGCAAAATATCACCCTTCCACAACGCCCCTCCGAAACCCCCAAACCTTTACGTTTTGCAAGGTTGGGGTCCTCCGACTTCCGCTGTGCTCATGGGTGGGATCTAAAGTCTCCCTTGTTTTCCTTTCACCTTTTGGACAATTGAAATAGCTTTCTGGTTGGTCTCCCTACCTCGTCTCCCTATTCCGGTCTATTTTCCCACAGAGCAGGTCTAACCTTGTCACTCTCCTATTCAATAAAATCCAGTGGCTCCCTATTGCCTGCAGAATCAAATATAAAATTCTTTGTTTAGCTTTTCAGGCCTTTCCTAACCCGGACCCTTCCTACCTTTCCAGTCTTCCTCTACCTTAGTCACCTTCCTGTATTCTCCAATCCAGCGGCACTGGCCTCCTTGTCATTCCTCAAATGCGACTTTCCATACGGCCTAACTCTGGGCATTTTTACTGACTGTCCCAAATGCTAGGAATTCCTTCCCTCCTCACTCCTACCTCCTGGATTCTCCAGGTCTCAGCTCAAAGCCACTTCTACAAAAAGGCTTTCCTGGTCCCCCTTAACACCAGGGCCTTCCCTCTCTGATCACGTCCACTTTGTGCCATCTATGTCTTGGCTGTACATAGCTGGTGGCATTGTTGTCGTCCCCATTAGGTTGTGACCCTTTGAGGGTAGAGCCTGTTTCTGCCTTGCTTGCAGTGCTAAGCACATAGTAGGTGCTTAATAAATGCTTGTTGACAATCTGGAAAAAAACGACTTGAAATTTCAGAGATACCCATTGCTTTAAGCCAGAAGTTCTTATCTCTTTTTGATGTCATGAACCCTTTTGGCCATTTGGTGAAGCCTATGGACCCCTTTCTCAGAAAGTTTTTAAATGTGTAAAACAAAATACATAGTATTGCAAAGGAAACCAATTGTACTGAAAGACTTATTAATACATGTGTGTATAAGCAAGTTCGCACACCCCACATTAAGAAGCCCTGCTCTAAGCAAACAGATAGCATTATCACAGATTGGTATTCAATTCCATCTTGAGGCAGATGGTGGAGTGCTATAGATAAGAGGGAAAAGAACGCTTGGACTCTGGAAGGCTCGGACGTGAAACCTATCTAGAACATGAGCTGTTAATACCTCTGAACCTCAGAATAGGAGCAACATCTGCTGGGGTCCCTGCCATGTCGGCTGGGCAAGTTTCCCACTAAAAGGGAGAAAAGTGATCAGACTGTCTGCAGAAAGAGAATCCAGCTGTATTCTATTAAGCTCAACATTAAAGAGATTTGGAAAAATGTGTAACACAATGCCACTTTTCTGACAAAATTTTGTTTTGGAATATACAGTTACTTTCAATAAAACATGTTATTTATGATAATAATATATAATGGGTCTATTATGGTTATTTTTAAATGAATTGATAAATGAAAATATATCAGTTTTAATTTTTAATACAATAAATACTGATAGACATAAAAATAATTTTTAAGCTTGTAAAGAGGTCCTCAATAATTTTTAAGAATGTAAAAGGATGCTGAGAATAGAAAGTTTGAGAACTAATGACCAAAGGCATAACCCCCCCAGATTACAAGGAGCCAGAGCCCTCAGACCTGAGGGATGTCCCACTGCTTTGCCAGTCAATATACTCTTCTGACCAGACACATTTCCATATAGAGACAAGGAGGGCTGCATTTAACTGAACTAGTGTAAATTGCCTTACGTTTCCTTTTGGTTAAATGGTAGATAGTCTGTGAGTGTCTCATTTCATCCCAACCCCAAACCTGAACCACTGGATCATCCTTAGTCAGGCCCTTCCCAGAATAGCCTCAGTTTTGTCATCTGTGAAATGGGACAATAACAGCACCTCCCTCACAGAGAAGTTGTGATGGCCAAGTGGGGCGAGGCATTTTGAGAACTCTGAAGCCCTCTGCAGGAACACCAGCTATGATCATTACAGGAAGACAAGTTGGAATGCAGATGAGTGCAGTGACTGGCTGGACGCATAAGCAAAGCGAGCTGGGGGGGGGGTCTTCATGGAAGCCCATCTGGATCTCTAGCACAGAGTGATAGCTGAAGGCAGCAGCAGTAGTGTGTGAGTGTGTGAGTGTGTGTGTGTGTGTGTGTGTGTGTGTGCCCTTCTAACATCCCTCTGCACTCTGAGGCTGCAGCTGTCTCCTGGAGGACCTCTTTACTGTTAGGATGGGATCCAGGCAGCGGGGGTCAGGCTGGATTAGCCTCCCAAGACACTCACAGGGTCGACTTGGCGTGAGTCCTGGTGCCTTCCCGGGGAGGGCTCCACAGAGCAAGACTTCTGAGTACCCACAAGCTAGCACATTAATGGAAGTGGTGATGGCCCACAAATAACCTTTTAAAAATTATTATTATTTTTATTTTTACACAAGGGAGGCAGCAATGCCTTTTCAATTATTTTTACCTTCTAATAAACTTCAAACTTTTATGCAAAAATGTATTTCGCTAGAGGTCTCCTTTTCTCAGTCTCACAAATCTTCTGCGATAATGTGAAAACACTTAACCACTAGAGTGACAGGACCCAGCCAGAAAGTGGGAAATACAGTGGGGGGAGAGAAGGCACCCTGTTTGCCTTGTTGTTTGGTCGATTACTGGTGTCCAACTCTTCATGACCCCATCAGGGGTTTTCTTGGCAAAGACAATGGAGTGGTTTGCCACTTCCTCCTCCAGATCATTTTACAGATGAGTACATTAAGGCAAATGGTTAAGTGACACTTAGAAAGTGTCTGAGGCCAGATCTGAACTCAGGACGATGAGTCTTCCTGACTTCAGGCCCATCACTCTGTCCACTGTGCTACCTAGCTGCCCTTTACATTGAAGGGAAGGTGACTTCTGTGGTCTTGGAAAGAAAAGAGTCTACAAGGGAATAGATGGGGAGGTGGGGCAGGGGATGAGGAGAGGGGAAGATGGAGAAAAAGGAGGGAAAGGAAGGAGACCTTACTTTGGAGGTAGGAGGGGATTCCACTGATGAATGCTCCTATGGGTCAAGGGATAGAATGACCTTACAACACTGGGGGAGGCCTGGGAGATTTGTTGCTTGAAAAGTCTACTTGTCCTGGGAGTGTGCATGTGCGTGTGTATGTATATATGTATGTATGTGTGTGCAAGAGCATGAACATAGGTAGATTTCCAGACAAACATAGAGAAAAGGTCAACAAGACAGGGTATAGTTCAGTGGCAGGGGACGGACCCCACCATGGGCCAACATCTTCTTTGATCCCTGCAATGACTGGCATTGTTCTGAGTGAGGAACAATGGAAAAAGGGAATCCATGAGGTCAGCCCTACAAGGCAGTGACAGAAGGCACCTACAGTGCAAAGCCTAGAATGGATACTTTGGAAGCTTTGATCGTATGCAGAATACCGAGAAAAGAGAAAGAAACCAGATAATTAGATGGGTCATGAATCAGACTATGAGGGTCTAGGGTAAACAGAAAGAGAAGATGATAATTTAGAGAGTAAAAGAAATCTTTTTTTGGAAGGGGGTATAAAAATTAAATAAAAAACGCTAATAGATAGGATTAGCTGAAGGGGAAGAGTCAATCTGTTTGAGAGGAAAAAAGAAGCAGAAATATATAACTAGATAAAAGCAAGGTAGAGGAATTAATAAACAAAACCCTAAAGGGAAGTGGGTAACAAGAGACTCAAGGGGATAAAGAGGGAAGAGAAGAAAGCCAGTGGGAACAGGGCCACCTTAAAAAAAGACTAATGTAAAGTAACTGAAGGAACATAATACTGTGTTTACAGCAGAAGAAGGAAAAATATCATAACTTGGAAAAAAAACAATTTTAGAGACAGAAAATATAAACTTAGTTCATAACTTTAAATGTGGATGGATTAAACAATCCAATAAAACAAAAAAGAGCGATAAACTGGATAAGAAAACAAAACCCTGCAATCTGTTGCTTAAAAGAAGAACATTTTTAAAAAAAACAGACATATACAAATAAAAATGAAGGGATGGAAAAAGAAATTATTATGCATTAAGTGAATCCAAAAAATCAGGAGTTGCCATCATGCTATTAAACAAAGAAAAAACAAACATTGAAAAAATAAAGAGATATACAAGGAAACTACATTATGCTGAAAGGAACTATACACAACAAAGCAATATCCCTAAGACACTTACACACTCCAAATGCTTTAGCATCCAAGTTCATAAAAGAAACATTATCTGAGCTACAAGAAGACATACAGTAACACGACAGTGACAGAAGACTTCAATATCCTTCTATCAGTTTTGGATAAGTCTAACAGAAAGATAAACAAAAAGGAAAATACAGAACTGAATGAATATCTGGAGAAACTAGAGTTTAAAAATCTATGCTGTTTTCTAAATGGGACAGCAAAAGAACATATATATTTCTCTTTACCATATGGAAGTTTTACAAAAATTGACCATGTACCAGGGTGCAGACATACGGCAAACAGATGTACAAAGGGAAAAATAGTTAACATGTCCTTTACAATCCATAATGCCATAAAATGGAAATTGGTTCAGGGGCCACAAACATAAGATACAGTCCCAAGTGGAGACTTAACGAATGAAATCTTAAAAAATGAGTTGGTCAAAGAACAAAACATAGAAACAATAACTATGTAAAAGAAAAGATAAGGATTAAACTACATCAAAATTTCTGGGATGGAGCTAAAGCAGTCCTCAGGGGGAAAATTATATCCTTACAATCATACATTAACAAAATAGAAAAAGAAGGGATTAAGGAACTGGATATGCATTTAAAAAATTAGAAAATCAATAAACAAACCTAAAATAAAAACAAAAGAAGAGATATTAAAAATTAGAGGGAAATAGGTAAATCGGAAAAACCCCACAGAAATAACAAATAAAACTAAAAGCTGGCTCTTTGGAAAAAACTCATAAAATTGATAAACTTTTAGCTAATCTGA